GAGGCCACGAATTTTGGCCCTGCCATTAGCAGGATGCTGCTTATTTCTGGTGCTTTCCTGATGATCGCGCTGGAGACCCCCACAGCGTTGGTGACGGGGGAGCAGATCACCTTTCTGCTGCAGGTTTCAGACCTCTCCTTTGGGGCTGTGCTGGGATGCAGCCACAGTGCCCCAGGCATCACTGGCTGTGCGGGGTGTGCAGGGCGGCTCTTGGTGTCTGACACGCTGGTCGTTGCTCCCAGCAGTGCAGTACAGTGTGGCTGTGTAGCTCAGATGTGCTTGGTTAAATGACTTTCCCAGCAGATTCTACAATAGCTCGTGCCTTGAGAGAGAGATACACTGATATTTTTAGGCAGAATTTAGGGAAAAGAAAGCTTGCAGGAGGAGCCAGCCCCCTGTTCCACTGTGTTACAAAGACACGTTTAATTCCTTTCCAGTGCGCACTAGTATGCTGCGAAGATGTACACCTCAAATCACAGTATTCCTTCCTTCCTCAACCTTGCTGTGTAGTGGCTGCAACAAATGATAGACCAAATACTCTCTTCTCCCCTCTTCACTCCTGGGACAGCTGCCCCCATTATCAAACAAGACTCTGACCTTTTGATCGATCCATCTTGTCTCCTCCACAGAGTCTGAGCTGAGGTGCGGCCCTTTATTTATTCACGCAATGTAGGTTTCCTCATGCTGCTTCACCAGTGCACATCAACTGTGACCTCGAGACACTATCCCCTCCTGGGATAAGCATGTTTTTCAGTCCCCGGCATCTCTGGAGTAAAGACTGACAGTTCTTTAAAGGGGGGGGGGGAAGCAGGTGGGAAGAATGACAGGCTGAAGTGCATTTTGGTTTAATAGGATAAAATGGAGCTTAATGAAAGTAACTCAGTCTGCAAGTTGCCTGGTCCAGAACAGGATTTCAATGCAGTGCTTTCCTTTAGCTAATGCCTAATGTGGTAATATTTTTGCTGGTGGAAAAGGCATCGCCTCCTTTTGCCATTTTCCTTACCCTGTCCTTCTCATGTAATGCAAAAACATCTTCAACTGTATTTTTGCACTAAAAGTTCTGTAAAATTAATCAGCTGCTAGACAGCAGCCTGACTGGTAGCACTGGGAGGAATAGATGACAGTGACAACCTGCTGGTGCCAAACACAACCCATTCTGCTTCAAGTGGCCCAAGAAAGAGACCCCAGAGTGGAGACAGCCCCACGGGCACACAGACCAGATGCTTGGTTCTGCTTCTCCACCAGGCAAGCAGAGATCATTTCCTCACTGCTCCATGTAGAGTTTAGTGATCCATGGGAGAAGGTTCACTGACTGGGTGTACACCATGGGACTCCATCTCTGGGGCTGGAAACATGTCTGCAAACAAGGGTTCTGCTTCAGCCCCTGAAGAGTATGCTGGTTATGAGATTTGGGGAACTGAGTTTCAGGCACCTGAGCACCAGCCCAGGCTGGGGAGCAATTGCTGAAGACAGGGCAGTCCCACACAACCAGTGGGATGTGAGAGTCTGGGTTCTCCTGCTCTGGATTCCAGCAGTGCCTGGCGTTGGGCATGTTGCCGTCACTCCTCCCAACAGCAGCTCGGGGCACTGCTACTCACACGGAAGGGACGGCAGGACCTGGCTGCTGAGAGACCACTGGAGAAGGGGACCTTAGCAGTCCATCCACTCATTGGCTTGCTCAACCATCTCTATCATCTCTGGGAGATCTTTGTTCAACACTTCCCTGAAACCCACCACCAAGAGTGAACGCCTTCCTGACAACCCGCTGCCATCTCCTGTCATCTTTACCATTTCAAGGTCTTTTTTCTTGGTGTCTCAGCTACACCCTTCTTGCTGTTCTTCAAGCACGTGCTTTGTTGTCCTACTCACCCCCATATCAAGAACAGCTATTTTCCTTTGCACCTTATTAACCAGCTGCTTTTCTCTAGAAAAAAGCAGCCTCATTCATGTCAGTCTTTCAATGCTAGCTATTACCTGGACCCTCTGATTCTCCTCCGAATTCTCTGGTGGGACCTCCAAAGCAGATTCGCTGTGTCTTGCTCTGCAAAGCCCAACATATGTCAGTATTTGAGCTGATGTCTTAACCTGCCATGACGTAAGTGGGCTTGTGGTTAATGCTCCAGGTTGTATGTGTTGCTGCACTATCTTGTTTCTTTTACCACAGCTTTACTGCCTTGCATTCAGCTTGCGAGCTGCACTGCAACACTGCTCCCCATCAGCTAGACCCTAGCCTTCACCTGCAAGGTTGCTAAAGGAACTGCCTTCATCCACCTTCATCCACCTTCTGTCAGCGGTACAGACTCAGAGGAGGTCTCCGTGGACAACCTCTCCAGAGCAAGCTACCCCGATGGCCATCAGAATAACGGTTTTCTAGCCTTCACACCAAGAGCGACTGTCTTATTTCTTGTATGGCACCCCACATGGCATCCATAAAAGACCTCACCGAGTGATAGCTCAGAGCCGTCTCTTGTTAGGTGCTCTTGGAGTTCAGTTTTCTCCTTGGCCTCTTGGACACTGTTGAAAACAGCTGCTTCAGTTTTGGGGGAAAGAAGCAGAAAACTACCTGCTCTGGATGTTCTTCAGCAAATGAGAGGCAGGGAGGAGCTGAAATCTCTCCAGAGCACAGCCCAGTCCTTACTGCACTCGTGAAGAGAATGGCAAGGCCACAATTTCACAAAGTCATTTTTACCTTAAACCCCTCCACCAAACTTACTGAATATTAGCTTGAAAAAACAGTGGAGAAAACAGTTCGGAGGCAAGATTCCCTAAAATCTGCCTAACCACAGGCTGGAGGTGTCCATTCCCTATTTTTGTACTTACACACTTTCTAGTTATCCCTGGAGGTAGAACAGCCATGAGGATGCAATCCTCTGACAGCAGTCACACCATCACCCTTTGTGAGGGCAGAGATTTTCCATCCTGGCACTGTGTTGATGTACAGTAGGCTTATTACGTTCCTCCGGACATTGGTAACTCCTGACATCCAGCTCTTGCAGATGGAAAGTCTAGTCCCTTCGGGAATCCCCTTCATCATAACGCTTCTGTCCAAGAAGTTTTAGGGGACACGAGAGCAAGAATGCAGTCTCCTGAGCTCTTTAAAGAAGGGTGCACCTCCTGGAGAAGAGATTTACTCATCTTGTGACGTTAGCTGGCCAGATGACTAAACCGATGCATCAGAAAAGTTGGAGTTGATCTCAGTACTTAATGTAAGACAAGCCTCCTTCCCTATCCACCAATCTATGGGCTGGTTCAGCTAAAGGCTACTGGGGACTTTTGTTCAAATAGAACTAGGTATTGATAAATGAAAAGGGATGTAAAACACAGCGCACGGGAAAAGCCAAGTTACAATGTTAGGGGCAAGTCTTTTCAGGAGAGGAATTAATTTATTATCTTTTTTATTAGGGTGAAAAGTGATTTGCATTTTCAGTATCATCAAGAACTTTTCAATCAAGTAATCAATGAAGTTAAACAAAAATAAATTTCAGTGGTCAACAAGGACACACTTGGGCAACACTGGGCATTAGGTTCTGTTCCCAAGTATTATGTAGGTGTAGCTCTACTCCAAACACCTCTGAGATGAGGTGATATGGTCACTAAAATACCAGTGCTCTCATTGGTGACCTTACCAAACAGAAAGTTGAAGAACTCTGGGAGTACCACCATGGAACACCACTGGCAGAATGATAGTCCTGAATTTTTTCTAGTGTACCCACTTCCCCTTCTCAGATACCCTTCCATTAGCATAGGTTGCAAATACTTTCTAATTTTAAAACACCGCTGTAGCCAAGGGCCTGTTTCTTAGTAATAATTAAGAGAGGACATGCACCTTTATGAAACTGTGTTGTTAGTTACTATCACTTGCTCAGCAAAAGGAGTGGTATAGTACAGAGCAGGTCAGGAATCAGTAGAGTATAGTTAATTTCCTTTTCAAAACCAGAAAAATCTCTTGCCAGAGGTGATGTAGTTTCAACTCAGGAAAGAGAAGAAGACACTGTTTTTAATTATACTTGGTAATGCAAGAAAATGTAGAACAAACCCACTATTTTTATATCCCTCATGTAAAGTTTTATTTAGGTTGTTCCTTTGATGAAGCACTCATTCTTACAAAGCTTTTAACAACGCACTTGTTTAATTCCAGTGTACAAAAATATGTCTTTAAAAAAATTATTAAATTTTAGCACAGTATATCTGGAATCAAATAAATTTTTCGTACTCTACTATCTTTTCTCCAGAAGCAACTTCCACATCAAGAAGAACAAGGACATATTTCATTTGAGATGCAAACTCTGTTCCGTCCTCAGCCGCTTTCTCCTGCCCTGCTGACTGGTCGGCAAAGACGGGGACCGGGATGTTCCGTGTGCTGGGCACTGAAAGTTGTGGCACTGAGGGTGATGGATCCACGACACCATATAGGACCGCGAGATGGGAGACTGTCATGTCCCAAAGTGCACAGTAAGGACTTCGCAGCACCTTTCAGGAGGGACAGAAGTGAAAAAGTGCCCAGCTGCACTCTGGAGAGGATTGAGTGCCATGCAGAACGTGCTTTACATCCATGTCCCTGGTCTCTATCCCAATTCCTCCTAACGTGAGAGCCTCTCCAGTGTCAGCTGCAAAGGCACTGTGCTCCCTAGCAGCAGATCCTGCTCCAGCAGGCAGAGCAGCATCTCACTGGTGAAGAAACAAAACCTACCAAACCCAGCATGGCCCCTTCCTGCCCCCACCCCCCCCAAGCAAAGAAAATAAACTTACAGCCTATCCTGGGACTGCTGAAAAGTGCAGCTGTTCCGGGCACTAGCACTGATTCCCACCTGTTGGGTGGACTGTTGACAACAGACAGAACACTCCCTTTCAGAAGCAGACATGGACATTGGATGTGTGCTGGTGCCTGGGCATGCCCGCCTGGCTTCAGGGACGGACTTAAATTCAGTGTGTGAAGAGAGGGACAAAAATAAACAGAAGGCAGAGCCAGTAAATGCCGGTGCTACCTATCTACTTCCTCATCACCAGGATTTCTGTTTAGACTTCTTCCTCCTCTGTTTAATGAGGAATAAATTCTCGTTGATATCAGGATTAGCGTCTTTCTGTTTTTTCCATTTCTTCTTCCTTTTAGCACCTTCCAGATGCTCCTGCACATACCCAGTCTTGCTGCCTGAGAATGCCTGGAAAATGGACTTGTGATAGATTTTGCTGCCCTTATGTGCCTGCCTTTTACACCCTCTAGGGAAGTCCTCCTCCAAATTGTGGCTGATTTCAACATCGCTTCTGTCTTTCTCTTCTCTGGATTTCTCTGCCCGGGACATCTTCATCTTTTTGTGACGCTCACCATCTTTGTTATGTTTCCCACGTTCTTTCCAAGGCTTGCTCTTCTTCTTATGGCTGTGCCCCCCATGTTTTTCTTCCTGCCATGGTGTCTCTGACTGTTCTGGCAGAAGGCCGGCTTCCTGTAGTTCTGTAAAACACAGCAGTTTATTTCAACACACACAGAGAAAACCTAAAACTTAGTGCCTGAGCCGTCACAGCTTTCCTATTTTAGGTATGAAGTTAGCTATCAGAGAGATATTTTTTTTTCATGTTTTTTTTTTTTTCTGCCAACGGACTAGAATCTTAACAAACTACAGTTTAATCCTCTGTCTGCTAGTTTATAGCATTTTTAATGTCAGTGGATTTTTTAGAATTAAAACATCTGACAACGCCCACCTAGTGGCTTTGACACAATAAATTTCTGTGATAGACACGGATGAATAAGGTCACAAATCTTTTACTACTGTTAGACTACCTGTTCAAATCCCTATAGCTTTTCCCAACACATGAAAATAATCCTACAATATTTCTAAAAGCAGCAAGCACAGAAGAAAGAATTTCAAAGAACTAAAAGGCAGGAGGGATCTCCCAAAATATACTGTACCTGTGATCTTTCTTTTTAATCTGTTCGCTCTTCTCTTGATATCATATTCATCATCATAGTAGTAGATGAATGGAGAAGTAGGGAACATGCTCCCATGCATCCGCTTTTCTGAGCACTCCTGCAAAACACATTTCAAGTCACTAGATGTGGCCGAGTTGTGATTTTTCCTGCAAAGGAAATGCAGATTCTGTAGGTGCAGGTTGCTACCTTTGGAGGATGTGGCCAGCAATTCTTTAAATACTGGTAATTTTATTACAATCCGATACTCCCACCTGTGCACACAGGAAAACATGCATTACATGAGCCAAGCTGCAGCCTTCTCGCAGAAAATGGAAAGAATCCCTTGTCTTCCCACAATTACTATACATCTGTAGCACTGATAGCAGCAGAGGACTAGAAGCAGGTGAGCACTCGGTAAATACCAGGCGAACTGCAAACGGAGCTGTTGGATCTGGGGAACAGGGCTGTCCTGCCTGCAGCCAGGCCAGGTGCCCCCACTGCCTGCTTGCGCCGCTTCTCGCTGCCCCCTGCGCTCCCCCAGCACAACCACGAGCCCAGTCTCCTCAAAAGACAAATAGTTCTAATGGCAGAGGAGCTCTTTTAACCTGGATGATTTGGGTTGAAAGTAGGAGCAGAAATGTGGCAGACTCAAAGGACAGGGTGGCCTAAGGGAAGGAGTGAGCAGCGATGAGGAGCCAGGGGCAGCACCCCTGCCCCAGCCCATCTGCAGCCAGAACCATGTGTCTGACAGGCTGCGATTTTCTCACAGATACAAACCAAAAGCAAATCCTGCAGGAGACTCTGCTGTGCAAGCACATCTGCAGGGAAGAGGCCCTGAACAGTCGGCTGAGGTGAGGAAGGGGCTGGCTCTTGCATCACGTGCATGTCAAATGCTTGATTCAGGAATGTGAATGTTTTTCACTGCTGTACACAAAGTTTTAGCAATGTCTTGTGAGCTAGGCTAACTGGGATGCTTCCTATGATTCTGTCTTTTTTTTCAGGGTACCAGGAGATATTAACTGATGCTTTCTCCTCCTGGTGAATTGCTTGTTAACTGTTTTGCTGTTAGGTTGTGTGACAAGTGAACTTGTCCTCGCATGCACAGAGGAGCGCGGACAAGCAATGGCAGCTCAAGGCTGGAGACTACCAAAGTCTGAGGGCTCAGCCTTACCCCTCTGTGAAAGCAGGCTGAAAGGGACCTAGGAGAGGGCAAGTCCATCCATCACCTGAGGCTGTTCTCCACAGCTGTTCATCCAAGATATGCATATCCTGGTAGAGGGACCGGATTCCACACTGAACACCTTGAACAGCCCCCTATCACCACACAGAGAAGCCTCCTCTCTCACCTTTCCCGGGTCCTCCCTCAGATTTAAGAGGAGAGAGAAGCATAACAGAGAAATGACATTTCAAATACCTGTGTTTCACATGAGTGAAACCTAAGAGTGGCCTTCAGGCAGGGCACAAAGCTGCCTGCCTATCTGGAATAAATGAAAGAAAATATTATCCCTAAACATTGCCAAAGAGGTTACTGAAAACAACACTGATGGGCTTTAGAAAGGAATATGCAAAGACACATTCATCTTTCTGTGACACCTGTGAAATGCACTGCTTGAGAGCCCGCATCAAATCTAGGGCTTGCTCTGCAGGCATGTGGCCTGTTCACGATTTTTCTTTTGTTAATACGCTGACAAAGAAGCCTTAGCGAATGAAATGCACACACAACCCAAACTGGCACTCCTCTTTTTCTCTTCATCTCCACTGCACTGATAAATCAGCTCAGCAATGTCCAACATGCACTTGGCTATATCCTTCCCTCTCAGGAAAGCTGCCACTGCTGCCATACACTGTGTACTGTTAAATACTCTTGGGACAGTCTTCAGCGCTGGAAGTATTGTACAGAGGATGGAAAGCAGAGCCTGCTACCAACCCGCAGGAGGAATTTTCTGTGTGATTGGCATACTGGGATATGAATGCAAGGCACATCTGCAGATGTTGTACAGTTCCTTATCCCTGCTGCCTCCAGAACTTGCTGCAGCCTGAATAATGCAATGGGCTGTCCCGCATTAACTTACCCTCCCTCTTAACTTTCCTATGGGGATGCCCCTTAAAATGAGCACATCTTTGTTATGGACCATAAGAGACAATCTTTTAGATGTGTGGACTGCAATGAAAGGAACTATGATGTGAAGTCTACTAAAGAAAGTAAGATTACTTGTCCTTATTAAATCCTCAGTTTACATAAAAATACGTCTGTCTTAATAAACAATACAGCAAATTTGGGCAACCTAACTGCCAGGTGTTGGAACCTCTGTCTTTATTTCCATCTCTACAAATGAGAAGGGATCCACAATGACTTCCTTACTGGAATTGTACTGGTAACTCTGGGATTCTGCAAGCTTTTTGCTCTTGCCTCTGCTTTTGGGAAAGGCCTCCCTAGACCTCTAGCAAAGAAAAGGAATTTCAGGTGTTCCTAAACTAGATTAAACGGTAACATGAAAGGAAATGCACTGCAGTGGGAAGCACTGATTATGATGCGTCTATATAAAACTAATCCCTGCCTTTTCTTCTTGGTCAGTTTGTTATTCCTGTGCTTTAACTGCTCAAAAAAAGCAATAGAGCAGGGTTCCTGAGGTGTAGAAATGGGAAAAATGTCACAAGATGCTTGTCATCACAAGTAATGTTTACCTGCTTAAAAATATTTACATTAAAACAAAAAAAATCAACAAAAGTCCTCTTTTTTCCCCCTTAAATTATAGGCAGATCTCTGACAGAGCTGCTCAGCACATGAACTCAGGCACTGATTACGACCTCAGTTTTCTTAGCCAGTGAGAGCTGCAAATCTCAGATGCATTGCCTGTCCAGCTGGGTCACTGTAAAGATGCACACACAGGCTGCTAGTCCAATTTCCTTGGCCATTCTTGGCGAGAAGGTTTAGTGATTTGAGGGCAAATACTCAGTTATCATTACATAATCCGATGTGTGTCCTGGACGATTTTCTGTGTGCATACAGAAAGATCTGGTATTTCATCCCTCCTGTGTTGCTATTGACTTCTCCATTTTCATTCAGTCATTACTCAGGCTATTTCTGCTCATTGTATGCTAGTAAAAATACAATCTTATCTTCTTTGATAGCCACAAAGTGTTGTCCTTGAGTCACTTTATTCCCTGATTTTGTAGTTTCTACCATTTTCTATCCAAGCAATTACTATCAGCTCCTCCCATATATTTAATAATTATTTTTACAGCAGCCTTCTTTGTATCCATGCATGGCTGCCTCCTGCCTCCCTCAAACGCCATTTTTTGACAGTTTAGTAAAATGTTCCTTATCCATTGCCAGCAATCAGTCTCACTTCTTCACTCCTGTCGCCTCAATTTTTATTGTAAAGTCTCATTTTAGTGTCTATATTACTGGAGGGGGCTTTATTCTCATTTTGTTTAGCCGGATCAGTTTCAGTGCTGTTTTCACAGGCTTTATCAACTCCAGTCCCAAAGAACTGGCAGAAGATGCTCGTTTGCATGCCTGTATTGCTGAGGTCTCACACTGCTGCCGCATGCGTAGCTGTGTCTTGAGCAGATGTCTGGCAGGTGAAGCCGAGGAGTCGTATGCCTGTACCACAGCCAAGGCAGTGCCTATATGCCTGCCGTGCCAGGGATGACACCCGGCTGCTGGCACACGCTCGTCTCTTAATGAGTTTAGATTGCAACCGCTGCTTATTTCCTGCCCCTTCCACCTGCCCGTGCAGGCAGTGGTGTGTCCTGGATGTACGTGATAGCCTCAATGCACCATTTGAAGAGGAAAATCTTCACTTGTCTCCAAGACAGCCTGGCATTAAAAACCTGTTTGTCTGTCAGCTCTGCCATGAGAAGATCCCACCAAACCTGCCCTACCTGTCCCACTATTCCCCACAGGGATTAAGTATTTAGCTGAAAACAGCAGCAAGCTTTTAACAACACAACTTCAGTAGCTGCAGGAGTCAACACACAGAGCACGCGAGAAAGAAGGATTTTGCTGGGAATTTGCTATGGCTAAGCTGTAGGAAACTATAAACTTAACCCATGCAACACATGAGTAACATTCATTTTCTAGAATACTTGTGGCTCCTGGACTTATTCCATAAAAGAAAACAACTGACACTTGTTTGGTGTTGATATTTGCAGGTAGAGAGCTGCACTTGTCATGACAGGAGGCTGAAAAAGGTGATGATAAACATCAGCATTGATGCTAGAAGATGCAGCAGACCACCAGTTTTTACTGAAATCACTTAAAGCTCACGATGTCCTCCTTCATCAGGCTGAGTACCTTACAGAAGAACGATGTCAAACTTAATTCAGATGTTGAATTAAACTAAGAAACTACAAATAAGGATCACCAAAAGCAGGCAGAAATGGAAAATTCTTAAAATAGGCATACAAATTGTTGGGCTGATTGTGGTGAAGAACCTTACATGATGTTGAACATGGCAGTAAGGCACTAATATTTCATCTTATGAGCCACGGGAAAAAAAAACAAACAAAAAAAACCCCCAAAAAACCAAGCTCTCTTCAGCAACTGTCTGTTTCCCAATGAATATTCTCTCTCCCAGGCAGTCGTATTTTGATTTAGGGTTTAAAAAAACAAATCAATAAACCTGCTAAGAAGAGATAGAAAGTTTTCTTTTCTTCTGTATCTTTAAATTAGATGGGTGAGATCACTTTATACATTGGCCTCCGCTGACTGCAGCAATGCTGCAAGATCACAAACATTTCATTAGAGCAGCCCTATGTATAGCGTTAGCTTGACTCTTCCAGCTCTTTTCTCCAATCACACACTGTGGCAGAGACGACTTTCTACGCCAAGGATATACTCAACACTGAGGCAGAGACTGCTGAGACTTACATATCCAAAATGTCCTTTCTGGGAACAGTTGTAGCAGTACACTAAAGCAGAGCGCTCAGAGTGAGAACTGTCCGACTTGATTGGTCCTGGTTTTGTCTGAAAGATGGAAACAGGCAAGAATTAGGTCTGGTAGTGTTCTGAATGCTGAGTTAAAAATAAATTAAAATTACATAAATATAATTTTATTATGCTTCAATCAATACATTCCTTCTTGCTGTTGGAATACTAAGTTTGAAAAAGAAGCAAGTGGCTCCTATTACTGTAATTTTGCAGAGCAAGGTTCAGCCTGAGCATCACAAATGAGTTGGGAAGAGGCATCCCCAGTATCTGTTGCACTGGGCATGTTATTTCAGCTCTGAATACACAAAAATAGGCTGCTGATTTCTCTCTCTCCCCTCCTCGTCTCCCAGGCCCCTCCCCCTCTCACAGATGCCGCACATCCCCCGGGACGGACAGGGCCACCAGACATTGCAACCAGCAGCTGGACAGGCATGTTTGTGTATTGCTGAACTAGTCTTGCTTAAAGCATCATGGCAAAGATCAGATGGAGGTATGGGGCCGTCACCTGCCACATTCCCAAGCCTGCACCCACTTCCAACAGCAGTGCTCGGAAGCAGGTGTGCTGCAGGACAACCTGCCAGTCCTTCCAAGAGAACGGGGCATGGGTTCTGCTCCCAGCAGAGGAGACACGATGCTAGAGTCCGTAGCTGCTCTTGGGGCTCACGTAGGGCAAAGGAAGACTTAGGACGCTCCATTGTATTCGGGGGAACAGGCAGCTCTTTTTCTTTTCCCCATTTAGCACCACTAAGTGGAACAGGTGAACATATTGTTCCTTCTTTTGCTTTTCACACGTGCAAGCACGTTCATCCCCTGGAGAAGTGACTGCCGCAGAGCCCATGTCTGGCAAGAGCTGGCACAAGTACAAACAAGAGGTGTGCAAATTCTGGCTAAAAAGCAGCAGGGCAAAAGAGCAACCTTATTGCTTTCAGCATTACCTGCATCTCCTTCTCTCTGGAGCTAAAGGAGCACAGAAGAGTGGCCTAGATTTCAAACAAATTAGTACTATTTGGTAAAGCTCATTATGGGAATTGCTTTTTTCTTTAAATCTGTATCACCATGCACTCCTACTGTTAGAGCCACTGTGTTCTCCTGTACAGCCTCCAGAAGAATGACAGCACTGCTTGTAAAATAGGCAGAAACAACAGAAATCTTCCAATGCCATTTTTTATGAATCTGATCACACTTGCAGGGTCACCTTATTTTGAACCTCTTCAGCCTTGGGTTTGATTGTGTGTTTCAGATTCATGTTCCTCAGTTCAGATTCACTCACCAGAAGGAGGCTAAAGGAAGGCTAAGGAGAGTGACACATCCAACAGTGATTTGTGACAAAAGGCGGGGAAACAGGCAAAGGAAAAAAACCCTGCCACCTATGAAGTAATTTGTATATTTCTTATCCATGACTTACAGCAAGAGCTCTTCAGCTAACAGTAGTGCGTAAGTGACTTACTAAGCCGGCTTAGTTTTTCAGTTATTCTTTTATCATAAATACATAGAACAGGCAAGGATAAAAAACCCAAACCTGAATGCAAACATTTGTATAATCCTTGAGGAATAATCTGTGGATTTAATTTACTAGATCAATCACCTATATTCTAGTCAGTTTTCAGAATGAGGGGTGGCCCCAGAAATCACCTCCACTTTGGATAGGGCTCCTAAAAAGCAGAAGTAAATCCCACAAGTGATATCCTCCTCTGCCTTCCCACCATGTAGAATTTTACCCATATTAAATCTGTTTCCAAAGCTGATGTCCATTGAAGCCCACACTGGGATGCTGCCACAAAACCCAAACAGGGGCCTTCAGCCAGTCCCTGCCTGCTAGAGAGCTCTGCAACCAGAATACTTGTACGGTACAGCTATCAAAAATGAAATCAGGACCATTACGTCACTCCAGCTTTCTGCCAGCTAGGCCTTAAAATGAACCATAATGTCAGTCTGAAAATGACATGATTATACGATTTGGTCTTTGCAAGGTGCAGTGTAACAATAAGACACAGTTACAAAACCCAGGTATTATTCCGGAGGCACGATCCTTTACATTCCAAGATGTTTTCTGCTAGAATGCCTGCTGACAAGTCTGACACCTTCATCTGCTGAATGGTCATCATCCGATGTAAACAATTATGATTTTGGTCATCGTTAGCATTCTGCCATTGAAACTCTAGTAAAATTTACAGTGAGCTCAAAATACTACTACTTTTTACAAAAAAGGTAGGTGAGATCTTGCACTGTTTTGAACTGCGCTATTGAAAATAGATGCCAGCTGTATGGATGTTGACAAGAAACAGACCATGCTCCCCAGAGCACCGTGGTGGTTTATCGGGCTACATTACTAACCAAAGAGCCTTTACACACTCCTGCAACAGGTTCCCCAGTGTAATCCATGAGTTAAACACACAGCAGGAGACATGAGTAACTCACCTGACGTGCAAATGACGCCCGGCATCGGCCGCGGGCACGCCTCCCGCTACCGAGTGCTTGCAGTTCTCAGTGGCCAGCAGCGGTCCAGATGGAGCCCAACGGCTGCACCAAGCGCCGGCCACACCACCGTCCCCACACTGCGGAGCGGCCTTCCCTCACCGGGGACGACTGCGCCTAAAAACCGTGCACGCACAGATACGCCGGGGCTTTCCTTTAGTGCGGGAGCCCTTCAGAGCCTCCCGTTTATTAGGCACAGAGCCTCTGTGACCCCAGCTCCCCCCCCCCCGCCTGCGCCCGCTCC